TAGAGTAATTGATCTGTTGTGGTGATTCTGCAGTTGCTATGAAAATAAAACCACTACAGTAATTATTCTGTTGTAGCAGTTCTATAGTTGCTATGGTAACAACAATTACTACAGTAATTGATTTGTTGTGGTGATTTTATAGTTGCTATGGTAACATAATAACCACAATGATTGATTTGATATAGTAATTCAATAGTTGGCATTGTAGCAACACCTACAGTAATGGATCTGTTAAAGTAATAGTAATTCTTCAGTTGCTACGGTAACACAACAGCTACAATAATTCATCTGTTAAAGTAATTCTTTAGTTGCTATGGTAACACAACAACCACAATAACTGATCTGTAATATTATTCTTAGTTGCTATGGTAACAAATACTATAATGATTGATTTGCTGTAGTAATTCTACAGTTGCTATGGTAACAATTACAATAATTGATCTGTCGTGGTGATTCTACAGTTGCTATGGTTACACAACAGCTATAGTAATATAAACAAATGAGCCAATACTGTAGTTTTCTGCAACTATAGTGTACATTATTTTACTGTAGTAAATGTAAAGTTCACTACAGTATAATCCTCCTTCAAATATAGGAGCTCCCTCTGATATCACAGGAAGTTCCTGTGAGAATAAGAACCTGTTGATCATTAGAGGGTCCATGACTTACTTCCGTCCTCGGGTCGAGTTATAACTCCCTCCGTATTTCTTCCGATTAAGGATGAGAGCAGCGATTTCAGGCACGTAGCGAGCAAACATTGCCTACATGCATGAGACAGAGAGAGAGACGGGCATGCAGACGGCAGACTGCGCTCAGCCAGTACTTACTTTCTCCCATTTACTGCACTATAGGAACCACCATATTTCTTGCGGTTTCCTATTAACTCTATGATTTCAGGAACGTAGCTGGCAAACATGGCCTGGAGGAGGAGACAGGAGACACAGGACAACAGAAGAGCCAATGCTGGAGACCGTCTCATTCAGAAAGAGCAGCCTTAAAGGGACACTGCAGGACACTGCTCTCTTCTGTGCAGAAAGCTCTTTTACAAACGACGACCTCGAAAATAATAGAGAAAAGTTTTAAATGTAGAAATAAACAGTATAGTAATGTTTTAGTTAATCCTAGTGTTCTTGAACCGGTGTATAATACTGTATATATTAGTCAACTTCAGCTTTTAATGTAAACTGTAGAGCAGTGGTTCTCAAAGTGGGGGTCGGGACCCCCCGAGGGGTCGCGGGACAATAAAGGGGGGGTCGCCTGGTGATTTCCAAAAATCTATTTATTTTTATTAAACCATAAGAATTAACATATTTTATCCATAACTATACTGAAAATAAAAATAGTCGTTTATAGTTACTATATACTATATAGTTACTATAGTAGCTTATAGTTACTAGTTCTATTGGATTGCGACCCCTGGGGTAATTACATTATATTAAAGGCAGCAATAGCGTCAGATGCATTTTGATTTTATAACATCAGGTTATACTTTCTGGCACATTTTAAGCACGGACACAAATTTAATTGGTGTGTTTGCGTCATTGCATGCAAGGTTTCTGTATTTATAACCATCTCAGAGGATATTGGGGGTCGCGAGTCACTGGCATTGTTATTTTGGGGGTCGCGGGCTGAAAAATTTGGGAACCCCTGCTGTAGAGTATTGTAATATAATATACCTCAGATTCTGTTTAAATTGACGTGTGTTACCATAGCAACTGTTTAATTACAACAACAAATCAATTACTGTAGTTGTGTTACCATAGCAACTGTGGAATCAGCACAACAAATCAATTACTATAGTTCCTGTTGCCATAGCAACTGTTTAATTACCAAAACAAATCAATTACTATAGTTGTTGTGTTGCTATAGCAACTGTAGAATTACTACAAATAAATTACTATAGTTGTTGTGTTACCATAGCAACTGTGGAATCACCACAACAGATCAATTATTATAGTTGTTGTGTTACCATAGCAACTGTAGAACGTCTACAACAAATCAATTACTATAGTTCATGTTGCCATAGCAACTGTTTAATTACAAAAATAAATCAATTACTTTAGTTGTTGTGTTGCCATAGTAACTGTAGTATTACCACAACAGATTAACTCAAGTAATTTACTACAGTATGGTTCAAAAACACTACAGTATTTACTATAACTATTATAATATTTTTGATCATATTGGTTGTCTGTTTCTTATGTTTATGTCATTAATTTCTATTTTAGAATTTGCATTTGTATTGTAGGTATGTACAAAACATTTGTAAGACTAAAGGATGCTATAACTGAAATAAGAGGCTCTTTTAAACCAATTTTAGACAGACACTGCTTTATCATTATTAAGCAGAGATATAATAATACTGTTTACTGTACTTCATATTATTTAGCATGTGTATATTACCATATATGCTTATTCCTATTGTCATTTTATTATTGTCTGTATTATTAGACCCCATTTATTTCTTTCCCCAATTTCTGTTTAACAAAGTGATTTTGTTCCAACACATTTATGAACACAACAGTGTTAATAACTCATCTCTAATAACTGATTTATTTTCTTTGTCATGATGACAGCACATACTGTAATATTAGACTAGCACTTCTTCAAGACACTTCTATACAGCTTAAAGTGACATTTAAAGGCTTAAATGGGTTAATTAAGTTAACTAGGCAGGTTAGGGTAATTAGGCAAGTTAGTGTATGTTAATGATTTGTTCTGTAGAAAAAAAATACTGCTTAAAGGGGCTAATAATTTTGACCTTAAAATGGCTTTAAAAAAATTAATATAGCATTTTGTATATATTAATTTAGCTTTTTCTAGAGATAATGCAGTTTTAACTTAGTTTTTAGATTAAATTTTGCTTAAATAAATGTGTTTATTTATATTATATGTATGTATTTATATACTTGTACAAAAAAAAAGTCCTCTAGACTGTTAGTTTACCTCTGCTGTATGGAACACAGCCTCTAAAATGTACTTTTGTGTGGCACAGAAGAAAGCAGAATAAGGACAAGTAAAAGACGAGCGGTCTCTCATTTCTGCCTGGCGTGTCCCCTTAAGTGTGCTTAAATAGTGAACTGTGACTTTAAGAGTGGAGTGAGAGTGAGAGTCAGAATGCTTGTAAACATGCACTGTCCACAATTGAGAGGGATTTCTGGAGGTTTTGGGTTTGAAGTAAAAGCATTCTGTTTGATAAATATCCCCTGTTTGACGGGATACTGATGCTGGAAGAAAGAGAAGCCACAGATGAGAGTCGATCTGCTGT